GACTCTCCGCACGTTTGTGTCACTCCCGGACTCTCATCCAGTATGTCACAGTGGGGTTTCCCAATCCTTAGGAAAAAATTCCCCAAATTTCCATATCCTCTGAAAGAGAAAGAAGCCAATTAGTGTAGTATTAAGGTTTTAAAACATTTTTTGTTGCTTACTTTTAGGGATTTAACAATCAGAAAATTCCCAAGACACAGCCTAGAGAAGGTTCCCTGTTCCTGCCATTTCCAATAGCAAACAATAGGCCGCCCCCGCCACTTCGGTTTGCGTATTACCGTCAGACTCACTTCCTCTGATGGCGTTTCTGTCACTTCCGAACTGCTTCTGAAGGGATTTTTGGACTTTTAACACATAGACTGAAACCAAAAAAGGTTTGAATATATATATATATATATATATATATATATATATATGCATTCACCTTACCAGAGTTGCCTAAGAAGCCCGAGAACCCAAGAAGATCCAGTTACAGAAATATATACTTCTGGAAAAACATAAAGATTTGTAAATCTTCAACTACAGGGCTGGTCCGATTGTACACCACCAAAGAGATGATACAAATGGTACCATGCTGCTATAGTATAGGGGAGACAGCGGCAATTAAATAGTGTTTACTTATCATACATGACAAGCTATATTCATCCCTATTTAATTGCAAATGTGTGAACAAATCCACATCTTCCTGTTTATTGTCTGGCTACATGAGGAAAACAAAATTTTTTTGCCTAGCTCAAGGTCAGTCCGATTTGCCTGCCTCTAGCTCCCCCCATGTTTGAATGTATACAAATGCGAGTACAAAGGTGTCCTCTCATCTTCACAATACGCCTCAATATTCAATGATTTATTTACCCTATATAGTGAAACTACAAAGAACACTGCTGCAAAAAAAGAGGCAAGGAATAGTAGTATGTCGGCAATTTGGAAGGCAATTAATACGGTGAACAACAAAAAAAAAAAGTCCAATGTCAGTTGGAATGTACTGTAGGCTATTATTAAGAGGCAGTCTCGTCATCCTTTGACATTATAAAAATTCAGCCAAAGAACAACCATTCGCAAAGCGTGTGTCAAAACTCATCTGACCGGCAGCTGGAATATCTGTATGGCTTTTATGGAGTCCGATTTTCACTCAGACCACGGAAAGTGCCACGAGCCCCCTACCACTATTCAAAATGTTACTTCGAAACATAATGTCAGGGCTCCCAGGGTCGTGACCAGAGGTTTGTCGTGACTTGACCGCAAGGGTAAATCGCAGACTTCAGATATGTGTTTAAAACATTATAATTTATTAACACTAAACCATACCAAACATAAACGCAGTACAATACTAAAAACATAATACAGTGCAAAAACAAACCAAACCAACCCCAACCACAGATAACAGTAAATAACAAGCAAGCGTCGTCAGGCAGGCCGGGTCAATATCAATAGGGCAGGTAGGTACAGGGGGAGCAAGCGGAGACGATGTTGGGGTCACAGGCCAGGGTTCAGCAGGTAGCAAGAGCAGTAGTACAGAGGGTCAGGCAGAGGGAAGGTCAGGGTCACAAGCCCAGGGATCAGAACAGGTAGCAAGCACAGAGGGTCAGGCGGTGGTCAGCGAGCGAGCCGGGGAGAGCAGGAGAACGTCAGCAGCGGTTCAGATCAGGCAGGGTCAGCAAAGGAACAGAAAAGCAGGATGCAGGACAGATACAGGGCCCAGGACCAAACACACAACACCAAGGCAGAGTCTGCAAGTCTGGCCATCCCTTAAATACCCAGTATCAATCAGTTCCGGTGTTAGTGGCTGAAAGGTTGAGTCTCTGATTGCTGGGAAGCACCCGCTGGCCAGCCTGGTACTGCAGATCAAAAGGCAGGTGAGTCCCACCATTGCTGGCCAGTCCATTCCTGACCAGTACCCCCCCCTCAAGGAGCGGCCTCAGGACGCTCCAAACAGTCCTAGCTGGGCAAAAATGTTCCACGCCCCGGGTTGGTAACTGGCGGGATATCAAAGACTGGCACACCGGGCAGGACTCCGGGCAGCGGCACACGGGCTGGACTGGGCGGGCAGAGGCACATCGGAGCAGGACTCCGGGCAGAGGCACTTCGGCAGAGGCACACCGGGCAGAGGCACACCGGGCAGAGGCACATCGGGCAGAGGCCACTACGGGCAGAGGCACATCGGGCAGGACTCCGGGCAGAGGCACATCGGGCAGGACTCCGGGCAGAGGCACATCGGGCAGGACTCGGGCAGAGGCACATCGGGCAGGGACTCCGGGCAGAGGCACATCGGGCTTGGACTCCGGGCAGAGGCACATCGGGCCCCCCCGAGGCACATCAGGGGCAGAGGCACATCGGGCTGGGTAAGGCACCGGGCAGAGGCACATCGGGCAGGACTCCGGGGCAGAGGCACATCGGGCAGGGCTCCGGGCAGAGGCACATCGGGCTGGACTCCGGGGAGGCACATCGGGGTGGCCAGGCACGAGCCAGCGGAGGGCGCAGGGCCCACCAGGCGGAGCAGGGCACCGGGCCCCCGGGGGGGCAGGCAGGCATCCGGCAACGGCCCCAGGGGGGGCGACAGGCATCCGGGCCCCAGGCGGGGCGACAGGCGGGACCCCAGGCGGAGCGACAGGCATCTGGCCCAGGGCCCCCAGGGCAGGGGCGGCGGACAGGCGCCGGGCCCCCAGGCGGAGCGACAGGTCTCGGGCCCCAGGCGGGGCGGCCGGGACCAGGGCATCGGGGCCCCATCCAGGCGGGGAGCGACAGGATCGGGCCCTCCAGGCGGAGCGGCGGGCGCCGGGCCCCCCAGGATGGAGCGACAGGTCTCGGGCCCTCAGGCGGAGCGGGGCGGGCCCCGGGACCCCAGGTGGAGCGACAGGTCTCGGGCCCTCAGGCGGGCGGCGGGTGCGCCCGGACCCCCAGGTGGAGCGACAGGTCTCGGGCCCTCAGGCGGAGCGGGGTCGGGCCCCAGGCGGAGCGACAGGCGCCGGGGGCCCCCCGGAGCGGCGGGCGCCGGACCCCCAGGTGGGCGACACAGGTCTCGGGGCCCTCAGGCGGAGCGGCGGGCGCCGGACCCCCAGGTGGAGCGACAGGTCTCGGGCCTCAGGCGGAGTCAACTGGCGCTGCGGACCCTGGCACTGGAGCGAAGGTTGGGCGGCGGAGCAGCGGGCGCCGGTCACCAGGCATCAACAGGTGGGACAGCGAGCGACCCAGGTCATCTGGCAAGGCAGTGGACTGGGGCTACGAGTCAAACTGGCATGACCGGGGCACTGGGACAGACATTGGAACTCGGTCTGACGGACAGCGGGCATCGGGTCACCAGGACCATCCAAGTCATTTGGCTCGACAGCGAGCACCGCGTCATCTGGCAAGGCAGTGGGCTCCGAGAGTCAACAGGCACGACAGGGGCACCGGGATCAACTGGTCATCGGTCCGGATTGTCTGGCTCGACAGCAGGGCATGGGTCACCAGGTATGGACAGCGGGCATCGGGTCACCAGGCATCAGGTCCATTTGGCTCGACAGCGGGCACCGCGTCATCTGGCAAGGCAGTGGGCTCCGAGTCAACTGGTATGACCGCGGGCACTGGGTCAGACATTGGATCGTCTGACAGGACAGCGGGCATCGGGTCACCAGGCATCAGGTCATTTGGCTCGACAGCGGGCACCGCGTCATCTGGCAAGGCAGTGGGCTCCGAGTCAACAGGCACGTACGACAGTGGGCACCGGGTCAAAACCAGGCATTGGATTGTCTGGCTCGACAGCGGGCATCGGATCGTCACCAGGTATGGACAGCGGGCACTGGGTCACCAGGCATCAGGTCATTTGGCTCGCCAGCGGGCACCGCGTCATCTGGCAAGGCAGTGGGCACCGAGTCAACAGGTACGACAGCGGGCTCTGGGTCAATCATTGGCATCGTCAGATGGACACCGGATCAGGTACAAGGCATCATCATTGGATCAACAGCGGGCATCGAGTCAACTGGCCGACATAGGATCGTCACAGGCTGGATCAGTTCAACAGCTGGGCAAGAGGCACCAGGTCATCTGACCGGCAGCGGCAGTAGGTCACCAGGCATAGTAGTAGGGCTTTCAGGCTTGCTGCGGGAGGCGGTCCAGGCCGAGGCAGGAGTAGAGGCATCAGGCCACGAGTACTGAGGGGGCTCTGGTCAATGGCAGTAGGGGCAGGCCCGAGTAGAGGCATTAGGCCGATAAGTAGGATCAAGGCAGCGAGTAGAGGCTTCAGGCAACTGGCCTAAGAGGCTCAGGCCGAGAGTAGAGGCATCAGGCTGGAAGTAGAGGGCATCAGGCTGAGTAGAGGCTTCAGGGCGAGTAGTAGAGGCTTCAGGCCGAGTAGAGGCATCAGGCTGAGTAGAAGGCTTCAGGCTGGCAGGTAGAGGCTCCAGGCTGAGAGTAGAGGCTTCAGGCTGAGTAGAGGCATCAGGCTGAGTACAGGCATCAGGCTGAGTAGAGGCATCAGGCTGAGTACAGGGCATCAGGCTGAGTACAGGCATCAGGCTGAGTAGAGGCATCAGGCTGAGTAGAGGCTTCAGGCTGAACCACGGAAGGCAGGTTCACCGGTTTGGATACTGGCTGGCAGGATGGTATTGGTTGGAAAGAATTTTCGCTTTTTTCTGGTTTTAACTACTGGAGCACTGCAAGTAAACGCAGGTCTGCAAACGAATGGAGCAGCTGGAGACAGAGAAGAAAAGAACTGGAGGATGGAACAGGAGAGGGAGCAGTTGCTACAGAGGGCTTTTTTACAGGGTTAAAGGCAGGATAGGTGCAGCGAGTGGGAACAGGGTACTGACATGCGGTAGATAGCCAAGTATACTGGGCTGTAACTGGGGGAGTTGTTGGGAATACAGGAGTAGAGCTTTGAGGAAATAGATTAGAAGCAGGACTGGGTCTTTGTAAGCTGACTGAGGCTGGGTGCAAAACAAGTCTGTCCATGTCTGCAGTATGGGTTGAACAAAGCTGAGCTTACACAAAGCCTGTCTGACCAAAGACTGCACTGCGTTTATACAATCTCTTAGTACCTGTGGTGAACATGTGGAATAACGCTCCAGAAAGTAACCCACATCATCCTCTAATAACCACACCAGGGACTCTACCTGGTCTGCACTAAATGGTGGCAAAAATTCATCCCTGCATTCGGGGGAACCAGATGAAACCAACTCAACACAAACCTTAATCAATGGCTGCACCATAGAGAAATCTGTGCCCTGATCTACTAGAACATGAGCGAGCCGTATACATTCTAGCAGTTCATCCCGGGGATACTCCTTCAGAGTTTGATAAGCATATTTTCTGTCATCAAGCACTAGCAGAGATAAATACTCAACCTCATCCAGATCCATCCTTCCCAGCAACAAGCCAAGATGGCTTCCCTGTGCAGCCACTTCTGGTCAGGATTGGCCTTGGTGTAATGTCAGGGCTCCCAGGTGTGACCAGAGGTGTGTGACTGACGCAGGGAAACGCAGACTTCAGATATGTGATAAACAATTATAATTTATTAACACTAACCATACAAACATAAACGCAGTGCAATACTAAAACATAATACAGTGCAAACAAACCAAACCAACCACCCACAGATAACAGTACATACAAGCAAGCGTCGTCAGGCAGGCCGGGTCAATATCAATTAGGGCAGGTAGGTACAGGGGGAGCAAGCGGAGATGGGTCGGGGTCACAGGCCAGGTTCAGCAGGTAGCTAGCAGCGTAGTACAGAGGGTCAGGCAGAGGGATGGTCAGGGTCACAAGCCAGGGATCAGAACAGGTAGCAAGCAGCGTGGTACAGAGGGTCAGGCAGAGGGATGGTCAGGAGCGAGCCGGGATCAGAGCAGGAGAAGTCAGCAGCGGTTCAGATCAGGCTAGGGTCAGCAAAGGAACAGAAGCCATCCTCTGTAAATACACCAGTATCATCAGTTCCAGGTGTTAGCTGGCTGGAAAGGTTGCGTCTCTTGATTGCTGGTAGCACCCAATGGCCCAGCCCTTGGTACTGCAGTTCAAAAGGCAGGTGAGTCCCACCATTGCTTGGCCAGTCCATTCCTGACTACACAGCCCTGCAAACAGACGCCAGGCTGAAATACTCGCTGTTACCATGGGTACCTGGTGAGTCATCTCCCCCTCTGTCCCCCACTACAAGCAGCCAGTCCTAGTCTAGACCACGTCTAGACTCAGACCATAATACCTGGCCGACCAGGCCCTAAAACCTTGCACCACTACACATCAACACTGACCTACCTGTGATTGAAGCGTTCCCCGCTAAAGACCAGCCATCACCGAAATTTCCATGAAGAACATGTTATTGTCGCGTATGACAAAACTCTGCACAGCGATTTAACATTGTCACCTATTCCCCAGATTACAACCGTGGTCCAACAAAAGGAATCATAGGATTGCATCATATTGAATCCAGAAGGGGGAGGGGTTTGATTTGGTGCAAAATGCCCTGATTGACGAAACACCGGACCAAAACATCTGACATAACAAATAAATTTGAATTGGCGCCCTAAAAGACCGATCAGGGGCCAAAAAGATCAAATTCAGAGGTATCCCCAAAACTCACCAATAGGGTTTCACCCTACATACAACAATATGTTAAAAAAACCCCCTTTTCCCTCTCTTCAATATAGAGCTTGCCCTTTGGGTCGAGCCCCCCCGAAAAACCTAAACCCCCCTTTCTGTCAGCTCCATCCCCAAAAATGTTTTGGCCCTATCCCTTCTACCACATAAAAAAAAAATTTGTCGGCAGCCAGGGAAACCCTCCTTCTCCCACCACACACGCAAAATCCGACTGTTCGCGATCTGTCAAAGGCCCCCTCCGAACCCAAAAAAATGATTACTATTACTGAAACCTTACAAACCCCGGGGAAAAGGTACCTGGGGCTTCCCTACAAAACTTACCCTGAAAAACATGGTAGAATTACACATCAAAAACCCGAAAGGGGGTAGATTTACTTAAAAAAATGGAATATTTACTGGCTTTCACACAGAACCCCCCCTACCAAACCCAATAGGAGGCGAATGACCCGCACACCCTCTAATACTACTACTACTTTTTCCCCCCGATAAAATCCCCCTCCCAAAACTCTGGCGGGCGGCCCTGTACAGAAAATGTCCTCATTACAAGATTGTTTGGCACGACCCCCCTTTTTGGTCAAGCCTGTTCAAACCCCCCCGTTTGGAGTACATGTCGAGTCTTGGTTACTTGCTTAACCAAGTCTTTTTTTTCCCCTTTTTTCCCACCCCTTCCTCTGTCCCTGGCCCAAATCGACCCACTTACTGTATGTTCCTCTGAAAAACCCCGAAAAACCGGGAAAACCACCCCGAATCACATCGAGAAAGGTTATACCGCGAAACCCATGGAACTCCCCCTCTACAACGACATCCACCCCCAAAATCATTTTTTTTCCCTAAA